GTCTTGTGCCTTCCTTAACACACACATCTTCAACTTCTCTCTCTCTCTTCTGGAGTTGTCCCTGCTGACCTTAAACATGCCACTGTAGTACCTATCCTGAAAAGAAAAAAAAAACATCTCTTGACCCGTCCTCCCCCTCTAACTATCGTCCCATATCCCTACTTCCTTTTTCCTCAAAACTTCTGGAAAGACTGGTCTTTACCCGTATGTCTCACTTCCTCAATTCCAACTCTCTCCTTGACCCTCTTCTCTTATCAAAGTTACTAATGACCTAATCGCAGCTAAATCCAAAGGCCACTACTCCATAGTAATTCTTCTTGACCTCTCTGCTGCTTTTGACACTGTTGATCATGCTCTCCTTCTTCAATCACTCGGTCTCTGTGACACTGTCCTCTCGTGGTTCTCCTCCTCTCTCTCTCTCTCTCTCTCTCAACGCTCATTCAGTGTCTCCTTTTTTAATTATACCCCCCATACCTATAAAAGCACTGAACAATTCTAGCCCCTCTTATAGCTCTTCACAGATCCATAGGTATGCCCCTTCTCGGTCTCTCCGCTCTGCCTTGTGACCTTCTCCTGTCCATTGCACGCACCCGTACAGCCAACTTACACTTGTAGGACCTCTCCCAGGCGACTCCCTTCCTATGGAATAGCATGTCTACCGACATCAGACTCTCCCCTATTCTTGCATCTTTTAAGAAGTGCCTTAAAATCCATCTCGTTAGGAGGGATTCACACACAGAATGAAGGCTATTAGAACAGAGAGGAGGAGGGGTTCACATACAGAATGAAGGCTATTAGAACAGAGAGGAGGAGGAGTTCACACACAGAATGAAGGCTATTAGAACAGAGAGGAGGAGGGGTTCACATACAGAATGAAGGCTATTAGAACAGAGAGGAGGAGGAGTTCACACACAGAATGAAGGCTATTAGAACAGAGAGGAGGAGGGGTTCACATACAGAATGAAGGCTATTAGAACAGAGAGGAGGAGGAGTTCACACACAGAATGAAGGCTATTAGAACAGAGAGGAGGAGGGGTTCACATACAGAATGAAGGCTATTAGAACAGAGAGGAGGAGGAGTTCACACACAGAATGAAGGCTATTAGAACAGAGAGGAGGAGGGGTTCACATACAGAATGAAGGCTATTAGAACAGAGAGGAGGAGGAGTTCACACACAGAATGAAGGCTATTAGAACAGAGAGGAGGAGGGGTTCACATACAGAATGAAGGCTATTAGAACAGAGAGGAGGAGGAGTTCACACACAGAATGAAGGCTATTAGAACAGAGAGGAGGAGGGGTTCACATACAGAATGAAGGCTATTAGAACAGAGAGGAGGAGGAGTTCACACACAGAATGAAGGCTATTAGAACAGAGAGGAGGAGGGGTTCACATACAGAATGAAGGCTATTAGAATTGATCCTGTCCCATATCGCCTTATCAGATCTCTCTCCACTTGTCTTGTGCCTTCCTTAACACACACATCTTCAACTGCTCTCTCTCTCTTCTGGAGTTGTCCCTGCTGACCTTAAACATGCCACTGTAGTACCTATCCTGAAAAGAAAAAAAAACATCTCTTGACCCGTCCTCCCCCTCTAACTATCGTCCCATATCCCTACTTCCTTTTTCCTCAAAACTTCTGGAAAGACTGGTCTTTACCCGTATGTCTCACTTCCTCAATTCCAACTCTCTCCTTGACCCTCTTCTCTTATCAAAGTTACTAATGACCTAATCGCAGCTAAATCCAAAGGCCACTACTCCATAGTAATTCTTCTTGACCTCTCTGCTGCTTTTGACACTGTTGATCATGCTCTCCTTCTTCAATCACTCGGTCTCTGTGACACTGTCCTCTCGTGGTTCTCCTCCTCTCTCTCTCTCTCAACGCTCATTCAGTGTCTCCTTTTTTAATTATACCCCCCATACCTATAAAAGCACTGAACAATTCTAGCCCCTCTTATAGCTCTTCACAGATCCATAGGTATGCCCCTTCTCGGTCTCTCCGCTCTGCCTTGTGACCTTCTCCTGTCCATTGCACGCACCCGTACAGCCAACTTACACTTGTAGGACCTCTCCCAGGCGACTCCCTTCCTATGGAATAGCATGTCTACCGACATCAGACTCTCCCCTATTCTTGCATCTTTTAAGAAGTGCCTTAAAATCCATCTCGTTAGGAGGGATTCACACACAGAATGAAGGCTATTAGAACAGAGAGGAGGAGGGGTTCACATACAGAATGAAGGCTATTAGAACAGAGAGGAGGAGGAGTTCACACACAGAATGAAGGCTATTAGAACAGAGAGGAGGAGGGGTTCACATACAGAATGAAGGCTATTAGAACAGAGAGGAGGAGGAGTTCACACACAGAATGAAGGCTATTAGAACAGAGAGGAGGAGGGGTTCACATACAGAATGAAGGCTATTAGAACAGAGAGGAGGAGGAGTTCACACACAGAATGAAGGCTATTAGAACAGAGAGGAGGAGGGGTTCACATACAGAATGAAGGCTATTAGAACAGAGAGGAGGAGGAGTTCACACACAGAATGAAGGCTATTAGAACAGAGAGGAGGAGGGGTTCACATACAGAATGAAGGCTATTAGAACAGAGAGGAGGAGGAGTTCACACACAGAATGAAGGCTATTAGAACAGAGAGGAGGAGGGGTTCACACACAGAATGAAGGCTATTAGAACGGAGAGGAGAGGAGGGGTTCACACACAAAATGAAGGCTATTAGAACGGAGAGGAAAAGGAGGGGTTCACACACACAGAACGAAGGCTAGTAGAACGGAGAGGAGGAGGAGGGATTCACACACAATGAAGGCTATAGGAATGAAGGCTATAGGAACGGAGAGGAAAAGGAGGGGTTCACACACACAGAATGAAGGCTATTAGAATGGAGAAGAGGAGGAGGGATTCACACACAGAATGAAGGCTATAGGAACGGAGAGGAGGAGGGATTCACACACAGAATGAAGGCTATTAGAACGGAGAGGAGGAGGAGGGGTTCCCACACCGAATGAAGGCTATTAGAACGGAGAGGAGGAGGGATTCACACACAGAATGAAGGCTATTAGAACGGAGAGGAGGAGGAGGAGGGATTCACACAGAATGAAGGCTATAGGAACGGAGAGGAGGAGGGATTCACATACAGAATGAAGGCTATTAGAACAGAGAGGAGGAGGGATTCACACACAGAATGAAGGCTATAGGAATGGAGAGGAGGAGGGGTTCACACACAGAATGAAGGCTATAGAAACGGAGAGGAGGAGGGATTCACATACAGAATGAAGGCTATTAGAACAGAGAGGAGGAGGGATTCACACACAGAATGAAGGCTATAGAAACGGAGAGGAGGAGGGATTCACACACAGAATGAAGGCTATAGGAACGGAGAGGAGGAGGGGTTCACACACAGAATGAAGGCTATTAGAACGGAGAGGAGGAGGGATTCACACACAGAATGAAGGCTATTAGAACGGAGAGGTTCACACACAGAATGAAGGCTATTAGAACGGAGAGGAGGAGGGATTCACACACAGAATGAAGGCTATAGGAACGGAGAGGAGGAGGGATTCACATACAGAATGAAGGCTATAGGAATGGAGAGGAGGAGGGGTTCACACACAGAATGAAGGCTATAGAAACGGAGAGGAGGAGGGATTCACACACAGAATGAAAGCTATTAGAACAGAGAGGAGGAGGGATTCACACACAGAATGAAGGCTATAGGAACGGAGAGGAGGAGGGGTTCACACACAGAATGAAGGCTATTAGAACGGAGAGGAGGAGGGATTCACACACAGAATGAAGGCTATAGGAACGGAGAGGAGGAGGGGTTCACACACAGAATGAAGGCTATAGGAATGGAGAGGAGGAGGGGTTCACACACAGAATGAAGGCTATAGGAATGGAGAGGAGGAGGGGTTCACAAACAGAATGAAGGCTATTAGAACAGAGAGGTTCACACACAGAATGAAGGCTATTAGAACGGAGAGGAGGAGGGATTCACACA